ATGAGGTCTTCAATGGTCTCGCTCATTGCTTTTGATTTCCACCATTCCTTCGCCATGACCCACTTTTCTTCTGCGCATCACTTTTACGCCATGACTCGGGCCTTGTTTGGTGAGCGGGAAAATGGCGGCGGATTGATTGGTGGCGATTTGGATGTATTAGGGTTGGCGAGAGGAAGAAGAAAGTTGTGGTTGCGAATGGCAATGGGGTTCAATAAATAGTAACTTACCTATCCTATAATTGTATTTAACCCAAGAGTTATGCTATTTAAATCTGCCCGGGATTCTTAGGAGATGTGCGCTGCGCCGTGGATGATTGTTTTCACGGCCTCGAGATCTACGCCAATATATGCGCCTCTTCGTTGCTAGTGTGGGAGGGCCCATGCTGATGCACCCTCTTGACAGTGCCACGCATGGCTGCTTGGTTGACAAGACAAAAAGGCAATATGATGTGTTATACCCATCTACTTTTTTGACCAGACGTGTCAAATTGGACTTGACAGAACAAGTAAATAAATAAATATATAAAATAATAGTACAAGTGACATATGGTTTTTTGCCACACTTTTTGTGCTTGGGGATTGTCCCGACCACCCCCGTGCTCGGGGACTATCGTGACTATCCTTGTGCTCAGGGACTGTCGTGACTATCCTTGTGCTCGGGGACTGTCGCGACTATTCTTGTGCTCGGGGACTGTCCATACCACCATCGTGGTCGGGAACTGTCCAAACCACTCTCGTGCTCGGGGACTACCTCGACCACTCTCTGACTATAGCTTGGGGACTTCATCGCTCGCTCCTTGACTTGTGCTCGGGGACTACCTCGACCACTCTCCGATCACAACTCGGGGACTTCGCGTCTCGACTACATGCGACTGGCGACTTGCATACAGTTGGGATATTTTTTCTTCATTTGACCATGCTACAAGGCTGATATCTCGCCTTCCAGCAAGCTCGGGGACTACATCGGTACGATGCACCTACCGGTGCATCTTGTATCGCTTGTACGACGATTAGATTTTCAACTTAATTGGGAATTCTTTTTAGACTCTGGCACCACATGCCTGCGTCACCTACTACCAGGCTCAGGGACTAAGTGGGCACACTTCACCTTGCAGTGAATGTGTTTATTTTATCGACCCCTGCACTCTGATTATTGGCCATAACTGCTATTGTACAAGGGTCACTTACATTTCTTTTCAGAAATACAAGTGGACACACTTTATCAGGAAAGAAATCTTTTTCTTTTTTCTTTAGAGCACCATGCATTCTTTGGACAACCGGAGTCTTCGGCTATAATCGTGGTCTACTGCTCTCTGTTCTGACCAGAAAACCGGCAGATTCGCTTGGTCAATGTTTCAACCAGTTGGAGATGACATTAAGACGAATCGCATTAGCCGAAGGAGATTGAACGGCGTGTCGCAGCATAATACATGGAGCTCAGGGACTAGCTGTGGGGGTATTAACCCCTATACCCTTACGGCTAGGATTGGGCTGGCCCAGACCAGAGGGTCTGGCCCACTAGAAGATGACGCACGGCCCAGCCAATTTGCTTGGAGTCCCGCGCAAGGAATCAAGGCAGACTTGGAGATCAAGCAAGATCCTGGTCGGTTAGAATAGGAATCCTTATCCGACCACCTATGGCAATTGTAACTGGTTAAGATTAGTTTCCAGATCTGTAACCCTGCTCCCCAGACTATATAAGGCGGGCAGGGGACCCTCTCAAAACATCTCTCATTGACATACAACAATACAATCAGACGCAGGACATAGGTATTACGCCTTCACGGCGGCCGAACCTGGATAAAACCTTGTGTCTGTCTTGCGTCACCATCTTGTTTGTAGCTTGCGCATCTGTCTGCCGATAATCTACTACCTTGGGCATACCCCTGGGTAGACTGCCGACCATATTTCGTCGATAGGGCACGATGGCGGGGCCACCCACCTCTGCTAGAACCTCAGGCGCGACGGCAGAGCCACCCACCCCTGTTGGCCCCTGGGGCAAGCCGATGGTAAGGCCCATCTCCACCGGCTCCCCGGACATGCCCTCCCCTCCATGGAACGGGAAGGGTCCCGACTCCTGCAAGGACGAACCGATACCTGTCAGCACATCCTCGTTCTCCAGGTCGTCCCACTCGATGTCGTCGACTACCTTGTCATCGTCTCCATCCTCATCATCGTTGTCGTTGTCGATGTCCTCCCCTCGCTCCCATGCCTGCAGCTTCCGTTGCTTCTTCTTGCCCAACCTCGGAGGGCTGGCTCCACCTCGACCGACGTCTGAGGGCTAGCTCTGCCTCGCCCAACCTCGGACTTCAGAGGGCTGGCTCTGCCTCGCCCGGCGTCTGGCCACGGGCTCCACCTCACCCGACCTCACAGAGTTGGCTCCGCCTCGCTTGACATCTGAGGGTGGGCTCCGTCTCGCCCGATCTCTAAGGGCAGGCTCCGTCTCGCCCAACCTGTAAGGGCTGGGTCTGCCTTGCCCGAGCCTTGGGTTTGTGCTCTGCCTCGCCCAACCTCTGAGGTGGGATTCCGCCTCACCCGACCCCGAGGCCACGAGCTCCGCCTCGCCTGACCTCTAAGGGCGGGCTCCGCCTCGCCCGAGCCTTGGGTTTGCGCTCCGCCTCGCCCGGCCTCTGAGGAGGGACTCCGCCTCGCCCAACCCCGAGGTCGGGGGCTCCGTCTCGCCCGACGGAGACCCATACCGCCACCAACCACTCCAGGTCAAAGCTCTGACGCTAGGGACGAGACTGGCACGCCTCGATGTAACCCGCGGCCCACGACGGGCCATACCTGGGGGTTCATGTCAGGAATAGCATCGGGCGTACCAGTGCTGTTCTGCCTAACCCCCATTCGAACACTTATGGGCACGTCAGTTCACCACGACGTCCGCCAGGACGGAGTGGAGCGCCATGACCGGCAGATTGCAAAGCGCACAACCAGACCAACTGGACTAGCGTTAAACATTAGCTTGCAATAATATGAGCGCATTGAAAACCTAGTTGTGACATATTACAACATTAACATAACATTTTTCATGCTTGAACTATTTTTCATCCACAACCAAAGTTATTGGTAAAAGGTATGGTGCAACAATATCACCCAACAGTTAATTTTCGGGCTTCTGTGTATGATAGTCGGGGCTACAACACATCGGACATTAGATTTTGCTCTTAGGAAATGGGGAACAACAACTTATTAGTGTTCTAGTATTGGACCATATGACCCAAATGTTCTAGTTAATATGGTGGGATTAGGCCTCACAACAGAAAGCGTGACAACTTTTTCAACTAATATGCAGAATTAGGAGCTTTCTTGCCTTAGGTGCTTACGGATTTTTTTGTTTCTTGGTTTTACCCATAAATAATGACATAAGCCCCGACAGATAGATTATAGCCCTGCTACTTTGTCACGCCCTAGAAAACTCACCAAAACTCCAATTTAATGCGTCAATGTTAACTTGGAGCTGTTTAATCATCTAAATCTAGCCTCCACTGCACATATAGAAGTGATCTACTCTACAAACATTTTAAAATGCCGGTATTTGCATATTATGTGCCGAGGTACAAGAACGTGCCAATCACTTGTGTCCACAAAGATCAAATAGCGAGTTAGGTGTAAGGCCTATGTCAGAAGAATCTACTGAGTGTTACATTGAGATCCTTCCAAATGTCCTTGGTTCTCTCATCCTCGTCTCCCCTCTTTCTTGTGTAGACCTTTCCCCTTGCTGCATGTGCTCTTAGATATCACATTCTAGCCTTTGTGAAAGTAGAGAGGCAAACAAATCGATGGGAGTCTTAATTAGTCTGCTAGGTTGGTCTTTTCTTCTCATTGTTAAAATAGTGCCCTATAGCTTTTTTTCATATAGGTCTACAGCTACGATATTGCCTACTGTTTCGCTATTGCCGCTAATAACACTCTGGCTTCCACTATTTGGTTTAGCCATAAAATATTTTTGGCACTACGAATGCTAACCGAGGCAAATATTTCTAGAGGACTACAATATATGCTATTTACTTAACAAAATGTGATTGTAGCCGTGAGGATGTTGATTAATTAATTTAGTGAATGTTATGTAATAGACATGGAGACATGTTACTCTAGAACCTGTACATGTATTTGAGTATTTGTGTTTATGAAATTTTCTTTAGTTAAATGTTTGTATGGATGTATTGTATTTCACATTTTCACATTGTTTACTGTGAACAGCTAAATGAAATAGCTTCCTTTGTGTCTGCTATATATTTTTATATTTTCTGGAGAAGGCCAGCGTTAAATGCATGCTTATCCTGCTATTATTTAAAACATTATAATCGTTTCTTCTTATCTTAACATTTATGGAATTCCAAATCAGACCGATCAAAATGGCTAACAGCAACATGGAGCCAATCCAGGCAGGTAGGGTAGAGAGGGTCTTCATCAAGAGGAGTACTATATAATATGCTCCCCTATGGCTCACCAACAGCATAACAAGAGCATCAACACAAACTTGCAGCCTTACCCAAATACCGCAGACTGAGCTGAACACAGATCTATGTACTTCCCAACACAAATATATATGATGAGCTCCAACACATCATCAAGCATGGCACTAGCACCTAGCCATGCACATGCCGTCGCTCCGTTAACAGTACTTTGCACCTTTCTTGCCCTAGCTTTATTATTTCTCTACCGAACCAAAGCAACGTCATCCAAGAAAACACAGCTGCACCAGCTGCCGCCAGGGCCGGCTGGGTTGCCTATCATCGGCAGCCTGCACTGTGTGGTGTCAAAGAGGCCGGTGTTCCGATGGATCCATGGCCTTCTCAAGGACATGCACACCAACATCCTATGCCTCCGCCTTGGAGCTGTCCATGTCGTAGTAGTTGCCTGCCCAGAGATAGCCCGTGAGGTTTTCAGAAAGAATGACGCAGTCTTCGCGTCTCGCCCCTAACATCCGCCACTGAATTGTTCAGCTTCGGGTACAAGGGCTCCATCCTGTCGCCGCACGGGGAGCAGTGGAAGAAGATGAGGCGGGTGATCACCTCCGATATCCTCTCCGCGTCGATGGAGCGGCGTGTACAGCGCCAGCGAGCGGAGGAGGCCGACCACCTCATCAGGTTCGTCTACAACCAGTGCAACACCTCAGATAACAGCGCCGTCAATGTGCGTCATGTAGCCCAGCATTTCTGCGGCAACATGATACGGAGGCTCGTGTTCGGCAAGAGACACTTCTCGGTTGCTGCTGGTGCTGCTGGCAATGGCAGCGGCCCTGGTCCTGAGGAGGTGGCGCACGTGGACGCGCTCTTCACACTGGTGAACCACATCTACAGCTTGTCCGTTTCAGATTACATCCCTGCTGCGTGGACGTGGATGATTGCTGGCCTCGATCTCGACGGCCAAAAGAAGGTTGCCAAGAGCGTAATGAAGACTATAAACAGATTGCATGATCCCATCATACAAGAGAGGATCCATGAGTGGGATGGTCTTCGCAAATGCGGTGACAAGAGAGAGGCTAGAGATTTTCTTGACGTGCTAGTTTCTCTTCAGGATTCACAAGGGCGACGTTTTTTGTCGTTTGACGAAATACAAGCACAGACAGCGGTAAGATATGTTAATATTTACTATGCCGCATTCCCAATAGTATTAACTTTAAATTGCCTTATTTCTAGACAGTAAATTTCTAGGGGTTTTGTTTCCTTTTTTATAACTAACCATTCATGCATGGTGGTAGAAAATTATGCCGTGTCACTTGTTATTCACTATGTTAATATAACTGTTTCATGTTCAGGAGATAATGTATGCAACTGTCGACAATCCATCAAACGCGGTTGAGTGGGCACTTGCGGAGATGATGAACCAACCGGAGGTCATGCACAAAGCAATGGACGAGCTGAACACTGTTGTTGGCAAGGACAGGCTCGTCCAAGAATCTGACATCCCTCACCTCAACTATCTGAAAGCGTGCATACGGGAGGCCTTCCGCTTGCACCCCTACCACGCTTTCAACCCAGCCCACGTCGCCATGGAAGACGCCGTCGTTTCTGGCTACTTCATTCCCAAGGGCAGCCATGTCCTTCTGAGCCGGGTGGGTCTTGGCCGGAACTCAGACGTCTGGGATGCTCCTCTCCAATTCCGGCCAGAGCGACACCTGATGATGAACGAGCATGTGGTTCTCACCGAGCTGGACCTTAGGTTCATCTCGTTCAGCGCAGGTAGGAGGGGATGCCCAGGGGTGTCCCTTGGCAGCTCCGTTACAATGATGCTCTTCGCAAGGCTTCTGCAAGGGTTCACATGGACCAAGCCTCCTGGCGCGTTCGTGCACTCAAGCTCAAGGAATCCACTACAAGTCTCACACTAGCTGAGCCACTCTTCTTACAAGCTCAGCCTCGTTTGCCAGTGCATCTTTATGCGTCTGTTTAGTCACCGTAGTCTGGAGAGAGTTAGGGATGGGAATGGGTCGGGTTGACCCTGGTTAGTTGACCCGATCCACAAAAGTAATAAGTCAATAGGTCAAGGGGCTGGCATCAAAGTCTAAAATAGGTCGATATAGGTTCGGGACCTATTGACCAAATGAGTAAGATAGATCGAACCACTCGTCATATGATGTTTTTTTCTTTAATTTGTTAGCCTTCTTTATTGTTGTTTTTCGAATAAAGACAGTTGGTCAAAACCTGTAAGCGTCTATCCTTGGAAGTACATTGGGGATATCATATTTGAAAGTGAAAAGTAGATAAAATTAAAATCATGGTACACTTGCAAACTTATTTAATTTGATGCATTACTAATTCCCTTAATATGTTATGATGATGCTTTTCAGTCTTGTATCTCAGTTTTTCAAGAAGTGTTGATAGTATTCATGTCCTATAATAATAGAAAAAAATTGTCTCAACCCATATTACCCATTAGACTAATGAGGCCACGGGTTGTTGACCCATGGTCCATAAAATTGGCCTTGAGGCCACTGGACCGAGCCGTCCCATTCCTATCCCTAGGAGACCGAGACTGTCATGGAGCAACTTTATGCAGTATATTATATTCTTGCATAAGTCCTGTACAGGTTAGGGAACACACACCGTCTTCATCACTAGGGACTGTTGCAACGGCATGAAGAAAACAAGAAGTGAATCTTTCAAGTTTGTCCTGTGCTAGAAACATCCGCTATGCGGTTCCTTTTTTCTTTTGGATGGCCAAATAATGTTGGAATGGAGTTAAGTTAGACACCTTAGGCTTTGATTTAAGTTGATGTAATAAGTGGTATGATTATCTTGGTCATGTGGGATGAAGCCGCATATTTATTCTTTTATATAAAAAGAATACTCCTGCACAAGTCGTCATGATATATTTACGTGATCATGTATATCCTTTGAAAATGGGTGAAGTGTGTTAGTGTCCATAATCTTGCATTGTGTGCTTATAGTTTATTACTACTTTGTCGGTTTTTCTTTGGTGTGTGTGGTCATGGGTTTATGATGGTCGTCTAAGTCCAATGAAAATGGTGAAGATATGCGGGTATTAATAATCTTGTGTGCTTAATTATGATTTGTTAGTTTGTCAGCTCGTGTACGTTGTTGTCCAGTTGTGTGCACGATCACTTGTTTACGCAGAAGTACTGTGCTCCATGGCTATCTGCAAAATACATTAGAGGTGGATGGAGCTCACCCTGGGCATTCAGTTAACCAAAACCATTCGGGTTTGGTTCCTCGGTTCTTTATAAAATTCGGTTAGCGAAAACTGAACTGATCGGTTAGCTAGAAAACTTGGAACCGAGGAAATTCGGTCTCGGTTAGTTTGGTTCGGTTAGAACCGAACTAACCGAAACCATACATTACATCAAATGAAATGTAGAAGGGAAGAAAAGGAGAAAAATGAAAACCGAGCCATACATTACATGAGCCATATAGTTTGGTTCTTTTGCTCTTGGGCCAATATGTACAGATTCGGTTCTTGGTTCTGTTCAGATTAACCGAGGTCCTGGAACCTAATTACCCAATATTATTTCGGTTTCGAGAACTGAACGGAACTAGGAACCGAAATTTTTGGTTTCAGTTAATTCGGTTTCAGTTCCGTTATTTCGGTTCGGATCTCGGTTCTCGGTTATTTTGCCCGAGGGTTAGATGGAGGACGGAGGGAATAAGGTGGCAGCTGGGATCAGGGGTGGTGGGTGTAGCACCCAATTTTAAGAACAAACCCAGATACACATCATATGTGAGCCCAGAAAGTCAAATCTCACATATAGCTAGAAATAAGGGTAATATCAATAGACATTGCTCAATATATAACGTACTTGGTATAAAGAATATAACCTTAGATAGCAAACAGCGGAAAAACAACTCTGATCTTCGGGTAAAGACTCCAATTCCATAGGGACAACTGACTGGTTGATCACAAGCCTAATTCCTCCAAACTCTAGCAATCTAATACCCATCCGGGATTTTTCCAAAGATTAAAAAAAAAATAAAGCAAGCGTAAGTACATGTTGTACTCAACAAATATAACATGAGGTTTATGAGGCTCAAAAGGCTGACACTGATTTAACTGTGATTAGCTTTTAATGAGTCATATTTTAGCAATTGGGTGGCAACAAGTTTATTCACAAGCCCATATAAACACATGATCAGGTAAACATGAATAATGAATAGCATAAACAGTAATCATTAATGAGCATCTTTATTATCAGTATCATCAGTGTTCATAATCTATTCCGTAAGGGTCCAAGGCCGCTTGTGACCATGAGCACGGCTGATATACCAGTTTTATACTCTGCAGAGGTTGTACACTTTCACTGTGAGTCGTGATTTACCCTTTCGCCCGAGGTAGCTAATCTCTTGACCCACTTCCAAGGAAGGTCGGTAGGGTTCACTATGAAGCCTTTCAAAGGTTCGTCTAACAAGTTAGGGCCATTAGATTCACTCGGCAAACAGATGTAGAGCCCCCCCCATTCCGATGGCACAATGACGCGCAGCCTATACACAAGGGGACAAAGGCCGCACTATACCCGATTCGGCAAGCCATTCTTACGCCAATAAAAGTAACCTCTAACAAGCTAGAAAATGTCCTCATACTGAGCTAAAGACAGAGCCATATAGCCCTCATAGCTGTACTGTAAGTCCTGGATGTTCGCATATAGATAAGTCCTTGGGGAGAGAAATCTAGAGCACCATAGAAACAGCCCAATGCTCTAGCCCCCTAGTTCCATGTTGCTAAAAAGCATCTTTTAGTGTTTATTACATATACCATTAGTCAAGTTACAAGATCATGGTTTCAGTTGAGCACTAGCATCATACTACCCAATGCAGTAACCCAAAGGTATCAAGGACTCCAGGATATCAATTAGCTAGGAAAATTACTATGGTTGCCAAGGTAGACACATGCGGCATGAATTAAATGATTAAAGGTGTATACGACAACAAGGAAGATCCCATACTATACTTGCCTTAAAACACCGATCATTCGGGAAGCTTTAATCTTCAATGTCCTTCTTCTTCTTCTTCTTGATCACCATGTATATCTCACTGACTGGACATGATCATAAAGCATCACACAAGCATCCATGCAATCATACACGAAGCAAACAATAGAATTAAATCAGAACAGTACATCAAACATATGAAACAACAGGGTAAAAAGGTTTCAAAAATGTTTTACACGTTGCTATGAACACACAGACGCGAAAATGTAGATTACGCAATTACGAATCTAACACAACTTGAACGGGTCAAATCGGAGTTAAAACGGAGAAAATATGAGCAAAACAAAATCAGTGGCAATTTTGTAATTATTTTGAACTCATTTTTAGTTTTAAAATAAAAGAAAATGAATTAAAACTTCTCTATGGACTTGGCATCGTTTTTAGGAAAACACAGGGGTCAAAACATAAAAACTAGGGGCATTGATTGAATTATTTTGAACTACGCTGGACGGCGGGTTCTATACTAGAAAAGGGTAGGGGCTCTTTAGCAAAATTACCCGCCGAAGAGGTATCTTCTAATCTAGGCCGTTGATCTCATATCATGCGGTGCAGATCAAATCGGGGAAACAGGGGTCGCTGGAGCGGCGCTGTGCGCGGTGGCGCCATGGCCGGGGAGCAGAGGACCTCACCGGAGTTCACAGGGACGGCCCTAGAGGCTACAGTTAGACTCGGGGATGGCATGGGAAGAAAGAGGGAAGCACGGTGAACTCGCCATGACGCTTTACGTGGTTGGAGACGGCACGGAGGCGACGCACGGCTTGGTGGGGCGAACGACGAGCACGGCGGCTAGGGTTATGAGCTCGACGCGGCGATTCATTGACTTGGCTGCGGCTCCAAGGCTAGGGATGGAAGCGGCATGGTGCAGGGCTCGGCTTTTATGAGACGGGGTGGCGTGGGGTGCACGAGACGACATGAAGACGTGGCGGTGGTGGAATTTCCTCGGTGGCGGAGTCTGCTTCGGCTACGACGGAGGTAAGGGACGACACCAACAAGTGGGTCCCACTAGTCAGCGAGGCAAGAAGGCGGGGCCAGGGTGACAGCAAGGGAGAGCAAGGGAGGCGCTCTACGCGGATGGCCCTGGAGGTGAGCTGGGCCTCGGGGTGGAGCAGGCCTGCGTGGCTTGGTTGCTGGGCCGAATAGAGGGGAGAGGAAGAGAGAGTTTTCCTTTTCTATTTTGTTTTCAAAACCAAATTCAATTGTGAACCAAATGCAAATTCAAATAGAGTTTCAAATATACTTTTCAATTCAAAGAAAAGTGAGCAAATTTTGGTAAGTTTTCCAAAAATAAATTTTACAACTTTTTAAATTCTTTTATTTTCTAATTTTCTTTTCTTTTATTTCAAAGCCATTTTCAAATTCATTTTCAAAAGCAATTTAAACCACTTTGAATTTTAATAAGAACCACTCAACCAAATAAATTAAATGCACTGGCATGTATGCATAACCATGTTGGTACTCCTTATGATAAATTTTAATATAATGAAAATATTATTTTTCCTATATTTCATATACACAAAATTCATAAATTAATCATTTTAATCCTATTTTCAAAAGTGCAAATTTTAGGGTGTTACAGTGGGCTTGTGGATAGTGCAGCCCAGTTCGTCGGATGGAAAAGGAGGGCCGTTGAAAGATGGGTTGTGGGCCAACTAGGATAACATTGCTAGGTTAGCCGGACTGTCCAATATGATGGAAGGAAGATGTACACCACGGTCCATGGCCCATAAATATCATTCCACCACTCTACATACATATAGTATTCCGGCAATCCCAAAACTATGATACAAACGCGCAAAAAAAAGATGCACACATCAGTAACACTAAAACGAGAATCGCCACAGATGTACAATTAGAAACGCGCTTTTGACGAGTTTGCGTAGGGTCGGGTA